ATCCCCCCACAGTCACGCCTAGTCACCTGCAGCAGTAAGCAGCGTGTGTCTAGATATGGGTAAGACAACATAAACCACCTCTTTTACTTTTGAGCATTTTTTTTTTTTTTAAAGACTTATGTAGAATGTTAATCTGTAACACAAATGCAAGAAAGCCATCTTCAGGAACTCAGTGGTAATATGGAGAGGAAGAAACCTGGAGGAAAACAAGCAAAATAGAAGCTACCTTGGTATTATTTGGTTGATTTTCTCTCCCCACCCCAAATGTTATGGTTCCCTTGCATTGCAGCTACTGTTTCTTTCAAAATACCTAGGCACACAGGTAATTGGTTTGAACCAATACCAAAACTCAGAAGTAATATTACGACATATTTTTCTGGATTTCAGAAATTGGCACTAGATCTCCCTCCACGATGAGCTGAATAAATGTAATAAAAATGCTGAGCCTCCTGAGGTCTAATATTTCTTCTAAAGTATTTCCATACTTACTGCAGAATTGCTTTAAAATACCTCACTGGAATGAGAAGACCACAGTAAATCTGAACACATTACAAAAGCAGTACAGCACTGAGACGCTCCATTATGATTATTATTCTTAAACAGCAATTGGTTTCATTTCTTTCAAAGAGTTAAGTGATGGAACTCTGTGGAACCTGTCCTTACTACAAATATCAAACAAATGCTTCAGAGCCTTCAATTTTTTTACAATATTTCCTCTCCTCCTCCTTATGACAAAGAAGTCAATAGCTAAAATGACTGAGCTGCTTATTGGGAAGCCTAGCCAGTATACTAGCGTGGCCCAAAAGCAAGTTTCCAATTTTCAAAAAAATCTCTAAGGCAAAGCTGAAAAAATTACTTTTTTCATTTCATGAAAAGATACAATAATATAATTAAGAGCTTTTGTTGCAATTCTATACATGGCCATAAAGAGAAGTTCTATTCTTTACAAATATGTATTATGTATAAAATAATAAAATAAACAGCCTTCTTGCTGAAAGACTGGTTCTTATACAGACTAGGGGAGATTGCACAAAGACAGTTTTCTATACAAGACATTTCCTCTGAGGAGCCAGGCTCACTGAAGAAGTGTTAATAAAGCTATTTCTGTTGCAATGGACAATCTTCTACACTAACAGAGGTCTCTCTCCCTCTTTACTCGCTTCCCACCCTTTTTTTTTTAAACTTCATTTCCTCACAATATCTCCCCAACAGTTTAACATGGATGACATCTGTTTGACTGCTCTCATGATCTTGCCCATATTATTCTCCCTATTATTCTATCATAATTCTTGTTATGAAAGTGCAAGAAGGCCTCTGCAAAGACCACCTACTACAAAGCCATCTTGAAAAATGCCTTTCATAAACATCATCTTTGTCCATACATGAGCTTCTCAAATAAACTGTCCTCTCACAAAGGTTTGGTTAAAAAAAAAAAAAAATCCAGACAATTCTGAGCATTACAAGCTTGCTAGAGAGGGGACATCTTCACTCTTTATCCTAAGAAAAGCCACTTTAAAAACATATAGTGAAGAAATGAAATATGGCCCAACATAAGGGGAAATAC